TATCTATCTATCTATCTATCTATCTATCTATCTATCTATCTATCTATCTATCTATTTTTTTGTAGCATACTGGGATCCAAAAGTTTTTACAGCCTATGATGTATTTCGTGTAAGTCTGATCACATCAGAGCTCATTGTTCAGGAGGCAGAAACTCAACGGAATGGAATCAAGGCCATATTTGATCTAGAAGGCTGGCAGATTTCTCATGCTTTCCAAATTACTCCATCTGTGGCCAAGAAGATCGCTGCTGTACTTACAGTGAGTATATATTTCAATTATTATGTGTTAACTATATAATAGTGTCTGTGTATACTTTAGAAACTTAAATATTAGAAATGACAGGTATATATTTAAACAAGGTTAACAGTAAATATAATTAATTTTAAATAAATACATTCAAAATAAGTAACTACAGAATTTATACATTTAAATAATAAAGGGATGTTATTTTATTTTGTTCATTTAAGTTTCTTCCTAAATTAAAAAGTTGGCTCAAGGCAGGCATGGTAGAACACATCTGTAATCCCAGCATTTGGCTGGTACATACAGAAGGATCAGAAGGCCAGCCTGGGCTACATGAGACTTGATGTCATAATACTAACAAGAAAACTGACTAAAATATATTTATAATAATGATACAATACAATATCACGTTTTTCCAGATATAAATTGATATGCCTTTCTTCAGAAATGAAATCTTTGTGTATGTACCTTAGTTCTTGTGTGTGTACCTACACATGTGCATACATAAGGAAGCCAGAAAACAGCCTTAGATGTCCTTCATTAGGTGTCATTTACTCTATTTTGAGACATGGTCTCTCACTGGTTTACAATGATTAGGCTAGGCTAGCTGGCCAACTAACCCCAGGGGCCTGTTGCCACCACCCCAGTGCTAGGGTTATAACCACATGCAAACATGCTCAGCTCCCCCAACTCATGCATTTGGGGATCAGTCCCAAGTCCTCACAATTACATAGCAAGCAGATGACTAGTTGAGGCTACTTTCTGGCCCCTAACATCTTTAGAAATAGCCATTATCTTTAGCCTAGTAATTTTACTACTGGAACCCAGCTAAAGGATTATCCTAAATTACAGTAAGAACTTGTAACAGTAATATCTTCCTCTGTGCTTGGTACTTCCCTAAGTCTCAAATGCATTTCTACCTACAGCCATCCTGGGTGGTGGCATAGAATGACCATTTCAAGTGAGCAGTAACCTAAGGATCCTAGTCTAGGTCAGCTGCATTCCACAGTCATCTCTCTTACTACATAGAGACAGTGCCTGCATCATAACTTCTAATAGAAGAAAATTAGATATAACTTACTTGCCCAGAAATAAGAAAGGGATCACTTAAATGATGACATATCCATTTGATGGACCATCTCAACAATGTTAAAACTCACAGTGCTCCCCACAAATCATATTGCAACAATGGGGCAGAACAGGATGCAAGATGTTTAGAGAGTATATTGGCAATTAAGCTTAAATAAAATCACACATAGACTCTGTAATAAAAACAAATTAATAATACATCTCTAAACAGCAAGATGGGGGAAATTCTTCATAAGAGAGGGATAAAAAAAAGTCTTCATTAACAGTAATAGTTAAATTTCAGGATAAGAAAACTATTGATGAGTTGGTGTTTTTTTCAGGTCTTAACATTTTAAGTAGTCCATATGGCTTTGATACTAAAGATATATACCAATATCAAAAGTTTAAAAAGTATGCACCTATTATGATAGTCTTTCAATTTTCATTGCTGTTTGAGTATTTTTCTCTAAAAATATTTTTTGGTAAAAATACTAAATTAAAAAAATGTTCCAAATCATCGTTTCCCTAGTAGAAGCTTTATGTGTGACTAGGAAGTGGATTTTCTGCTAAAGTGGGTAGGATGGCCCTTAAAATACTTTTAAGATCTTTTCTGAGTACACTGACAATGATATATAAACCAGGATTTTGTGTTAACAAAATAAATCATTTTGAAAATGAAGTCACACTTTAGATTCTGCTGTGTGTGTCTATGTGTGTGTGTGTGTGTGTGTGTGTGTGCACATGCTTACTCATATATGAATGGAGGAGCGAGGTTAATGTCTGCTGTCTTCTACTGCTCTCCACATTATTTTTTGAAGCTCATCATTTCTGCTAGGCTGGCTAGAGTGAAGATCTGCCTATGTCTGCTCCTTTGTACTGGGAACACACACAGCCATGCTGGTTGTTTCCATGGAGACCTCAGGTCTCCATCCTTGCACAGCAAGCACTGTACCCAAGGAGCCATCTTGGAGATCCTTATAATGTGTTCCTAGAAAAGGCTTGTCTTTAGAATGTAACTGCAGTATTTATGTTTTGTTATTAAGGTTTTTATTTTTCTTTACTTTCAAAAGGATTCCTTTCCATTGAAAGTTCGTGGTATCCATTTGATAAATGAGCCAGTCATTTTTCATGCTGTCTTTTCCATGATTAAACCATTTCTGACTGAAAAGATTAAGGGCCGGGTAAGTAAAATACATGCAAATGATTATATTTCCTAAGAACAGTCTTACCTCTTTCCATTTAAGGATGTCTTTGTTATATTCCCATACTTATCAAACATGTCAACTACTCTTATAAAAGAAAATTTACTTTACTTTAGAAGAATCTAGCATTACTGGCTGTGAAACTCTGGGAAAACTGACTCTCATGTATCACTGGAGTGTAAAATATATTCCCTCTAGAGGGCAGTGTGGTATAATAGTTATGACAAACTATGTCAGCATTTTCTGGACATTCATCAGATACAGCTGTATATCAACAAGAAGAGCATATATAGTAAAGAAGATTAAAACCATCAAGCATTCACCATGAGGGGTCTGGGGAGCAAACTGTGACAAACTCACAAGACGGCAGTGTGTGTTTTAAGATGAAATGCGCACCATGCACAGGAGTGTTATGGCATGCCACCCTTGCAGAGGGAGAATCAGAACATATAACTATGGCTGCACAAAAACAGATTCTGTTAGGACAGACAGAAAACAGTCCAGTGATAGAAGGTGAGGGCAGAGTTTGCAGCAAAATCTGTGTTTTGTTTGTTTCTTTTTTTTTTTTATCTTGTTTTTATTTCTAACTTATCTGGATGTGTTATACAAATAGAAACACATACAGTCTTAAGTATTAAACAGATGTAACTGAAACATATCATGCCTGGGGCATATGACTTTATTGTCTTACAGCTAACCAAAGTAGTCAATGTTCACTAACCTGTCCTGCTGAGCTTCATTTCACATAGAATTTTTTTAGTTAACATTTTGTTGTTTAGAAATTTTAAAATGTTGACAATAATTTGCTGTTCAGAACAGCAACTGCTTGCCTGACCTAATCTGCAGAGGAGCGTTCTTACAGCTTTCATTCGGGATGTTGTTACGTTGTTCAGCTGTCTCTGTTTTCTACATTCAAGTGACCCTTGCAGCTCAGCTTAGATGCCCAAGTAGGCCAGAGGAGGGCATCTTATCCACGGAGCTAAAGTTACAAATCTCCTTGTATGGGTTCTGGGAACTAATGAGGTCCCCAGGGCCATTTCTCCATTCCCAACCCTCATTTCCCAGCACATATAGGTTCTTATCAAATGGTTGCTGAAAGCATTGATAAGTATTTACCTCTATATGGGTATCCTTGCAAAGTCCTCTGTTGGCAGAGAAATGACCCAAAGAGAGACAAGAATGAAGCTCGGTTCAGTGAGACTTTAGTTAGCCAGACTGGTTCAGACTTCTGGAGTTTGACCTCAAGCAGTTTATCTTTTACATATTTAAACACAGTAAACACTGAGGGAAAGAGTTTCCCCTTGTCAGTTGTCACAAGAAAGCTTCAGGCATGGCTACACTGAAACTTCTTTGCAATGTACATCTCTTTTGAAAAGCACCATGACCTCTTACATAAGAACAAGTTTTGTTGACCTAGAAACAGTGCTAAGGATAAGGATTGGTAATCAGCTAAATAGCAAAAATTATAAGCTTCTTTTGCAAAGTATCTGTGAACTCTCTCATAAGAATGAGTTATACTGACTGAGAAGGAATGCCCAGAAACCTGGGGGATTCCGGTAAGGGCTGGCTCCACAGAATAGCGTAAGCACCAGGTTATTAGACAGCATCCACTTGAGCCTCCCCTGTGAGCAGGTGTCAGTCTCTTCTGCTGAAGAACAATGCCTGTGTTTTACAATTCTGATTTTTCTAGTGCTTTCTGTAAGCTCGTGGACCTTGTGTCCTTCTACACCTCTTGCTATGGGAAATATTCTTTACTTACTTACTCTGGCAAAATCCACTTTTTATTTCTATGTCTTGTTTTATCCTACCTTTATTGGCATTCTACAGTCACTTTTTAAAATTTAAAATATTTGAAAATTTAGGGCTCACAACTGTCATAATTTTTTGATGGTGTTGTAACCATTGACTATAGCCATATAAATTACTCCTCATGAACCTAATTGTGAGTGCAAGCTACATACTTCTATTTACTATGAAGTAATATCAGGTGTTACATTTTTATCATGCATTTAGAGATAGACAGTTACACGAATGCAAATCTAAAAAAGCAATAAAATCATACGATTCACAGCAGCACAATCTAAATAGAAGCAACACTCTAGAGCAGAGGAATAAAGGGAGCAGTATTTAGAGGTACCTGCTTGCCTCAGTGTACCCTGTTTTGTGAGGTTAGTTTTTCACTGGAAAGGCTTCTAGCATGGTGAAGTCAGAGACAAACAATACCTTTTAAAACACTGTGGCTATTTCAGATTCATCTGCATGGGGACAGTTATAAATCAACCATAATTCAGCACTTCCCAGACATTCTTCCTCTGGAATATGGTGGCAACGAGTTCTCCATGGAGGATATTTGTCAGGAGTGGACAAATTTTATAATGAAGTCTGAAGATTACCTGAGCAGCATTTCTGAGACCATCCAATGAGAAGTTATTTCCCGTGAATGTCTTAGTCATTAAAAATTCAAGAATGGGATCCTATCTGGTTACTAAATTCAGAAGTAACCCTTCTAAATGAATTGATGCTTATCTGATCTTTAAACATTCAACATGGATATCTGGGGAATGGCTTAACTTTTCCAATGCTCTGTTCCTTTTATATCAATTAAATGCTAGAAGAGACGCGAAGGGCAGACATAGCTATATCTAAAGTACGTGTTCCTGTGTATCTTTGTATGGTTCGGGAAATTTTTATGATCATATTGTTTAATACTAGACTGAACACCAGTCCACTGGAAAGAAACATTGAGCGTATCAACTGATGTGAAACAGTGTTAGTGCTCAGTTGCAGTTGGTGTCAGGTTACATTTCAGACTGCAATCTGAATAGCTTTATGTTGGCAGGATAGCTCATCTCAGGAAAGGCCTACTTTAGCATATGCACACAGAAGCCTACGAGTGTACATCACACACTATTAATACTGTAATCAATGAAATCACTGTGGTTGAAAAAATTATTCCCTTTAGAAAATATTCTGAGCACAACTGATGGTTTCTCATATAGTCTTGTATTTGCAAATAAGTAAAGGATATAATTATGGCTTCTGTTTATGACTTAGATGGGAAAGTAGAGGTACATGTCTTTTTTTTTCTTTTTTTTTACTTTATTCATTTTTGTATCCCCCCATAAGCGCCTCCCTCCTCCCCTCCCGGTCCCACCCTCCCTCCCTATCTGCATGCATGCCCCTCCCCAAGTCCACTGATAGGGGAGGTCCTCCTCTCCTTCTTTGTGATCTCTTTTAAACAGACTGTTCATACTTGAAAATTTAACAGAACTACACAAGTGAAAGGAAGTGTTTACATTTTTAACCACCAGCAGTTATGTCTAGTATTTTTCAGATTGTTCATAAAATAACTTGAGTTTTACTATTATCTCAGAATATTTTAAGTCCCACCATTGCTGTTTAATTTAAACAGTCAGTAGCTCTCTGTATCATGGTGCAGTTCATTTCTAAGGCTTTCATTCATTGAGAAAGGTGTACTCTAATCCCATATTCAGTACAATCTTCAATTTCTGGCATAATTTTTTACTTAATGTTTTTTAAATTAATTTTCTTTTGAACTTGAAAGAATACAATATAGAGAATTTGTTGAATTTGTGTTCAACTGTGTAGGCTTCAACATTAATCATAAAGAGTATCTTTGTGTAGTATATTTTTCATTGTACAGGGGTGTTTTTCTTTATAAGAAAATAAGTCTAATCAGATGAGCTGACACTTATGATTCTCTGTACATATACCTCTGAAAAAACTGAAATGAGTGATGTTCTTTAGAGAACATGTCTAATTTTGATTTAGCAACTAGATGCTAACTTTACTATTTGATTTTACTAAAAAAGCTGTCTTTTTTCTTAAAAAATAATGTTCTTTATTAAATTATAAAATTAAAATTGTATAAAAATAATAGAAAATCAGCTAAAGTAATAATGAGTAACACAATACCTCTGGCTTATCAAGCTTTTAATCGCAGAAACTCAATCACCTTCTTTACATGTTGCTATTAAATCATTTGCCATGACTCTGAAGCAATGGCACAATACAATAAGGGCGCATGTTTTAAATGTCTACACTAGTGAAGTAATTAACAAGAAACTGGATTTTAAAATGTCAATCAGTGTAAGTGCATTCTATGATGGGGCTTTCAAATGTTTGTAAAATGAAGCAAGCCTATGAAGACCATCAATGAACAATGTGAGTAGACAGTTTGAAGGGTGCTGTGTGGTATTCTCCATGCTGCTGCACTGCATTTGTGACAGAAGCACTTTCCAAGAGGGAACTCAATAGGTGCTCAGTGTGTTGCTGAACTTCACAGTAATTTGCTTTAATATTGTTAAAAATAAACATCTTTCTCATAAACCATGGTATTGATAGTTTTCATTTAAAATGTAAAGGAGGCATTCTTTTAAAAAATGCTATTTCTTTCAAAAACAATTAAGCAAAGACATACCACATCTCCCTATCCATTATACAAACGTTGGTTCCTTTGCTTACACACTTTAGATGCAGACTATTTTTCCTGCTGCTGAGCTCTCTTTAGTGTTATATCAAGGAGAGACACTGCAAAATAAATTCCAGCCTTGAGTCATATGTCTTTGGAATTCATGTTCAGTTTTACTTGAAGGGTAAAACATACCTAAAACATTATATATACATATATATTAGACATGTAAATAATTTACTTATTTATTACAATTTATTTCTTTGTATCCCAGCTGTAGCCTCCTCCCTCATCTCCTTCCAGCCCCACCCTCCCTTCCTCTTCTGCTCCCTTGCCTCTCCCCCAGTCCAATGATAGGGGAGGTCCTCCCCCATTCAATCTGACCCTAGCCTATAAGGTCTCATTAGGACTGGCTACATTGTCTTCCTCTGTGGCCTGGTAAGGCTGTTCCCCCCTCAGGGGGAGGTGATCAAAGAGCCAGCACTGAATTCACATCAGAGACAGCCCTTGTTCTCCTTACTAGGAAACCCACTTGGACACTGAGCTGCTGTGGGCTACATCTGTGCAGGGGTTCTACGTTATCTCCATACCTGGTCCTTGGTTGGAGTATCAGTCTCAGAAAAGACCCATGGGCCCAGATTTTTTGGTTCTGTTGTTCTCCTTGTGGAACAACTGTCCCCTCCAGGTCTTCCTATCTCCCCTTTCTTTCATAAGTTTCTCTGCACTATGCCCAAAGTTTGGCTATGAGTCTCAGCATCTGCTTTAATACCCTACTGAGTAAAGTCTTTCAGAGGTCCTTTGTGGTAGGCTTCTGTCCTGTTCCCTGTTTTCTCCCTCTTCTAATGTCCATTCAGTTTGTCTTTCTGAATGAGGATTGATCATCTTATGGTGGGTCCTCCTTCTTGCTTAGCTTCTTTAGGTGTACAGATTTTAGTATGTTTACCCTATATTATATGTCTAATATCCACTTATAAGTGAGTGTATACCTATATGTCTTTCTGCTTCTGGGATACCTCACTTAGGATGATCTTTTCTAGTTCCCACCTGTAAATTTCATGATTTCCTTGTTTTTAATTGCTGAGTAGCATTCCACTGTGTAAATGTACCACAATTTCTGTATCCATTCCTCAGTTGAGGGACATCTGGGTTGTTTCCAAGGTCTGACTATTATGAATAAAGCTGCTATGAACACGGTTGAGCAAATGTCCTTGTTGTGTACTTGAGCATATTTTCGATATATGCCTAGCAGTGATATAGCTGAATCTTGAGGTTATATTCCTAATTGTCTGAGAAAGCGCCAGATTGATTTCCAAAGTGGTTGTACAAGGTTACATTCCCAACAGCAATGGAGGAGGATTCCCTTTTTCCACATCCTCTCTAACATGTGTTGTCAGATGAGTTTTTGGTCTTAGCCATTCTGGGTGTAAGGTGAAATCTCAGGGTGTTTAATTTGCATTTTCCTGATGACTATGGATGTTGAGCATTTCTTTAACTGTTTTTCTCCAATATTCCTTTACTGAGAATTCTCTGTTTAGTTCTGTACTCCATTTTTAATTGGATTACTTTATTTGTTGTTTTTTAACTTCTTCAGTTCTTTATATGTTCTGGATATTAGTACTCTGTCAGATATAGGGTTGGTGAAGATCCTTTCCCAGTCTGAATGCTGTCGTTTTCTTCTGATGATAGTGTCCTTTGCTTTATAGAAGCTTTTCAGTTTCCTGAGGTCCCATTTATTGATTGTTGATCTTAGAGCCTGTGCTGTTGGTGTCTGTTCAGGAAGTTGTCTCCTGTGCCAATGAGTTCAAGGCTCTTCCCTACTTTTTCTTCTAACAGATTTAGTGTGTCTGGTTTTATGTTGAGGCCTTTGATCCATTTGGACTTTTGTGCAGGGTGAAAATATGGATCTATTTTCATTTTTTCTGCAGGTAGACATCCAGTTAGACCAGCACCATTTGTTAAAGATGCTATCTTTTTTTTTTTTTTTTCACTGTATGGTTTTGTCATCTTTGTCAAAAATCAAGTATCCGTAGGTGTGTGGGTTTATTTCTGGGTCATCTATTCAATTGCATTGATCCACCAGGCTCTTTCTATGCCAGTACCATGCAGATTTCATTACTATTGCTCTATAGTACATTCTGAGATCAGGGATGGAGATACCTCCAGACAATCTGTTGTTGTACAGGATTGTTTTAGCAATTCTGTTTTTTTTTTTTTTAATTTTTCCATATGAAATTGAGAATTGTACTTTCAAGTTCTATAAAGAATTGTGTTGGTATTTTAATGGGAATTGCATTGAATCTGTAGATTGCTATTGGTAGGATGGACATTTTCACTATGTTAATCCTAACAATCCATGATCATGGGAGATCTTTCAATCTTCTGATATATTCTTCAATTTCTTTCTTCAGAGACTTGTTTTTTTCAAACATGTCTTTCACTTTTTTGGTTAGAGTCACACCAAGATACATTATGATATTAGTGGCTATTGTGAAGGGTGTAGTTTCCTAATTTCTTTCTCAGCCCTTTTGTCTTTTGTATACAGGAGGGTTTCTGATTTTTTTTTGAGCTAATTTTGTGTCCAGCCACTTTGCTGAAGGAATTTATCAGCTGAAGGAGTTTTCTGGTTGAATTTCTGGGGTCACTCATGTATACTATCATATCATTTGTAAATAGTGATACTGCAACTTCTTTGTTTTCACTGTGTATTCCCTTGATCTCCTTTAGTTGTCTTATTACTCTAGCTAGGACTTCAAGTACTATGTTGAAGAGATATGGAGAGAGTGGGCAGCCTTGCCTTGTCCCTGATTTCAGTGGGATTGGTTTAAGTTTCTCTCCATTTAGTTTGATGTGTCTATAGGCTTGCTGTATATTGCCTTTACTATCTTTAGGTATGTGCCTTGTATCCCTGATCTTCCAAGACTTTAAACATGAATGGGTGTTGGATTTTGTCAAATGCTTTTTCAGCATCTAAGGAGATGATCATGTGGTTTTTCTCTTTTAGTTTGTTTATGTGGTGAATTACATTGATGGATTTCCTTATATTGAACCACCCCTGCATGCCTGGGATGAAGCCTACTTGGTCACAGTGGATGATTTCTTTTATATGTTCTTGGATTTGGTTTGCAAGTATTTTATTGAGTATTTTTACATCAATGTTCATAAGGGAGATTGACCTGAAATTCTCTTTTTTTGTTGGGTCTTTGTGTGGTTTAGGTATCAGGGTGACTGTGGCCTCATAGAATGAGTTTGTTAATGTTCCTTCTGTTTCTATCTTGTGGAATAATTTGAAGAGAATTGGAGTTAGCTCTTCTTTGAAGGTCTGGTAGAATTCTGAACTGAAACCATCTGGCCCTGGGCTCTGTTTGGGAGACTTTTGATGACTGCTTCTATTTCCCTTGGGGATAATCTATTTACCTGATATTAATTTAATTTAACATAAAATATAATAAAGAAACAATTATTATTTGGTTAACTAGCGCACTATGAGTTTTACTTTTATTTTCATTTTACTTAGAGCTTTAATTTAAGTATGTATGACTTAGCTTTATACATTTAGCTTTGTGGCTCCTTTTATGTATCTGCCTGAGGACATGGGTTCTATTCTCAGCATTTTCATAAAACAAAGTAAAAGATAGATAATCCATTTTTTAGAACAATTTTCTACTGTCATGCCTGGTTCTCAAACACCAAAAGACCAGGAGTAAGTAGACTCTGCTGTAAATACATGAGACTTTTTTAATTGTATACGCGTTTGAACAAGGGACACAAATCTCCTGTGGAAACAGAAGAGGAATGCAGCCCGAGGTCTAGGGGTACAGAGTTTTTAAGGGAAAAAAAAAAGGTAAGCAGTGATGTACATGCTTTGGCATTACATGATTGGGTAAAGGAAATTGACTTTTGAAATGATTGGTACACTTTAGGCGCCATGACTACAAACAGTTCTGGCCTGGTCATATGGGCTGGTTTCCTAACAACTGTATAATTAGAGGGCAGGGAAAGAATGTAGTAAGATGAACTTTCCCCTCAGGGCATTTCTGGACAAGTCTATACCCAGGTAGCCTTAGGTTAGGCCTTAACCTTTAATAATGCTGCTGATTTTTAATCTTTTGATCTCTCACTACCAACCCTCATCATGATTTTATTTGTTAAACTAGATTTTACCTATAGAAATAGCATTAAGGTACTTTTGAAATATTATCTCTACTACCAACTTATATTAAAAGTATAAACAAAAAATTAAATCATAGAAAGAAACCAACCCAGCCATCAAGTGACACTGTACGTCCTGGAACACTCTGTACAGTCTGCTGAGTTTTGCCTTTGTTAGATGGCAAAACTGGAAGAATCACGAGTTACAAAGGTGCAAACAGAAATGAAGCCAATAATATTGAAGACTGACGGAGAACACTGATCAGCCAAGACATACACTTGGCTACAATGAGCTACTCCCATTGGATCCCTAGCACTTGACTAATTGTTTGTTCAAGCCAATCAGATTGTCTACTTTTTTAATTATTACTTTTATTTTATGTGAATAGTGTTTTGCCTCCATGTACTTCTGTGTACTACATGTGTACCTGGTGCCTGGAGAGGCCAGAAGAGGGTGCCAGATCTCCTGGGCTTGCAGTTACAGATGGTTGAGAGCCACCATCTGCTGGGAATTGAATAGGCATCTGGAAAGCATCCAGTGATCCTAACCACTGAGCCATGTCTCCAGTTCCACATATCTGTTTTTGACAACACTGTGTTGTTCTATTTCTGTAAAGAGACACCATGACAAAGGCAACTCTTAGAAAATAAAGCATTTAATAGGGGCTTCCTTACAGTTTCAGAAGAGAGCCTGTTATTATCATTGTGGGGTCATGGCAGCTGGCAGTCATTCATGGTGTTGAAGAAGTAGCTAAGAGCTACATCCTGA